TTGAAGAAAAATTTCTCTATGTATGAATGAAATTGGAAAAAACTTTTTACTTTATAAAGGGCAATAAAGTCTTGGAGTCGAGAAAAAGATGTAAATCACGACATTCAACCTTTTCATAAAGGGCAGTAAAAATCAATTTCAATTCGTATTAGGGGCAATCATTAATGATATTTCTAAAACTATAATAATTAAAATCCTTGTCCGAAGTTAATTATTATTGGTCAATGATAACTAACTATAGACAATGATTTTAATTATTATACTTGTGTGAAATTTATAAATTATATAATTTATAAATTATGTAATTGGATGAATATTTTCATTTAATTCTCATATTTTATATAATTTCATGCTAATAATATCATTTGTCAAATTTGATTATTGATAATCAAGAAAAGTAAATATGACCAAATTTAATGTGATAGAAGGACTGTAATATATTGTTAATTAATGAACTATTAAGTTGATGGATGATTGGATGATGATGTTTTAGTTTTTTTATTGTACTTTCTAAACTATTAGAATGTCGGTTCTGTGACATTCTAATTGTTATTTAATTAACTAGAAGTTTTGCATTCTATAGACTATATCCATCTAAATTAAATGGCATGTTGTTATATTCAGCCCACTACTCTTTGGAGTTTGGACAATTGGAAGCGTGTTGTTTTGGAAACAAGTCCAACACTAATCTTTTTGGGCCTCTCAATCTCAACTACTCAAGCCCAACTTCCATTCTTTCCTCAATCTTAACCTAAAAATATTGATCATCCCCGTCTATCTTTCGTCGCTTTCATCGGCTCTATCCGTCGTCTTCGGCCATCTGTCAATCCAACCAGGTATCTCATCGATCTCGCGTCCTCGCTTCTCCTACTTCCGGCCTTAGCATTTATGTCCTAACAAAAATCATTCACTCTTTAAACTGTTATCCGGATCTGAAAACAATAAGTTAAAAGGTAAAACATTTTCCAGCCGTTTTTATTGCAATTCCATTGACCATATCGGTATTTTCTTAGTTATATACATAGAATTATATGTATTTTTTATTTATTTATTTAGGTTTATGTTTATTTATATATTTCAATCCTTGTTCGGTGATGGGCTCAAATTTTCCGGGTTTTGTTAATTTCTTGATTACTCAAATATTATTATGATAACCTACGGTTGATGTTTGGTCAATTGAGCACAAACAATTTTGACTGACTTTGTTCAATATGTTTTGCATGTCAATAATATATCCATATTTGTGTATGGATTATGTATTTATATATTATTGATGATATGTAAATATAATTTTTATAAACACGCATGCCGTCAGATTATTTATGCTGGTAAAAATATCTATTCTATAAATCTACTTGTAGTACTGTTTATGTGCAATTACTTATTCATAACTAATTGAGTCATATTAAATACGGAGTATTTATAAATTTGGATTTGGTTGTTCCAAATATTTAAGTTTATTGCTCACTTTGTGAGGTATCTTCATTTGGAATTTCTACTCAAAGAATTATACAAACTCTTATAATATCACACTATATAGAATGCTGAATATAGAATTTTTCTCTTATAAAATGACAGTAAAGTGCAAGTCCTTCACCATATTGATTGATCTATTTTACGATACCTATTGCTCGATTTCAATCCGATTCATCGAGGTTTCTCTTTCTGATCAGAAATGGCGAAGTCGAAGAACCACACAGCTCACAACCAGTCCTACAAGGCTCACAGGAATGGCATCAAGAAGCCCAAAAGCCACCGCAACACCTCCACCAAAGGGGTACGTATCATCATCCCCTTTTGCTGTTTTCTATTCCAAAATGTTATAACCTGTGTGTTCCCTTCAATCAAATCATCTTTTTCACTAGAATTCCTAAAAATAACCACAAGTAATTTAATTTTGGAATTGATCTTTTGTTGTTGGTTGTGTACAGATGGACCCAAAATTCTTGAGGAACCAAAGGTATGCTAGGAAGCACAACAACAGTTGCAACAAGAGGGGAGAGGTCTCTGCTGAGGAGTAGATTTAACTCTATGTTATCAAGGTGGATGATCAACTGTAATTTTAGTTTGTTTCTTAGAAACAATTCTATTGTTACCCCCCATCCCTCCTATTTGAACTTATGTGTTCAATGCTTTTTTGTTTTGTCGTATGATGGATGAGTTTTTTTTTTAACTCATATTATGCTTATGATTAGTTCATAAATGTCTATTTCAGAGTTTCTTGCCTTTTATTTTCTTCCAATTAGTTTTAATTCCCGTCTCTCATCCTTATGGTATGAGAAGTTGAGAACTATTTTGGGGGCTGATTTGGGGTGAATCAGAGTTCAAGGTTAATTTAGGGCCTGAAGTTTGGCTCATTTCAGAAATATTTTGATGCTAAGAGCATCTCCAATGGGGATGTCTATTCTCTTACACACTTTTACAATTGGGTCCCATTTTTTATCTCACAAATTTTATGTGTAGGACCTACATATCTCCTTATTTATTTTCATTTTCATTTTTTATATCACTTCTAACCCATTTTTCATCCACTTTTGCTCCTCGATTCCCGTGTAATGTCTATTTGTGGACATTGTCATAGACATTGTCTACAATTTACTCCTATCTCTCTCTTCCTTTTCATTTTTCCATACACACCACTTTCTCCATATTAAATTAAAATAATCATCCTATCTCTATCTCTCTCCTATGCCACGTAGGATAGACTTTACTCCAATCCACTACCCCATTGGAGATGCTCTAAGATCTAGGATTACAAATTGGATTCACTGCGGACCCTGACGGCAGTCCTGGATTGGAACTGGGCCTGCTACTGTGTGGGACTGAACTGGGACCAGATGAAGCAAGTTTGGGGAACCCAGACCGGTTGGTCTGGGACGAGACTTGGTCCACCCCCTAGTTAAAAGATATCCAGAGATTAAGGGTGAATTCGGGTCGGGCCACCTGGTCCGTGGACCGGTCCGGCCCGCTATTGTGCTGGACCGAGACTGGCCTGCTACTGTGCGGGACTGGGACTGGCCCGGTTCTCGGGTCCGGGTCGGGCCTATTTCCGGTGTCGGGTCCGGGCTTGGGTCTTACATTTGACGAACCGGCCGGGTTGGGCCCGGGTCCGGGCCAAATTGATTTTTTTTTTTTTTTCATTTTTTGGGGTTCCACCTGGGTTGGGCTTGATGGTTAGGAGCGGTTTGGGGGTTGGGGGTAGGGATGGACTCGGGCCGGGCCAACCGGCCCGGAACCGGACCGGCCCGCTACTGTGCGGGCCCGGACCGGCCCGGTCAACCGGTTCGGTTCCGGTTCGGGCCTCCAGGCCCGGTGGTATACCGGTCCGGGCCCGGGCCTCCAGTTTAGTGAACCGGCCCGGCCGGGCCGGGCCCGGTTCGGGCCGGAATTTAATTTTTTTTTTTTTTTGAAATTTTTTTAAGTTTTGGGTTGGATTAGGTATTTTGGGCCATTTGAGGTGGTTTGGGGTGGTTTGGGGTGGAGGGGGAGGGGTAGGGGGTTAAATAAGAGAAGAAGAAGAAAAAAAAAAAAAAAAACATTCCGGGTGGCCCGTCCCGGTTCTGGCCCGGAACCGGAACCGCCCACCACCGGTTCGGGCTCGGGCCTCCTTTTTCTGAATCGAGGCCCAGCCGGGCCCAGGCCCGAACCGGGCCCGAACCGGAACCGGTCCACCCCTAGTTGGGGGGTTAGGAAAGCAAAAAAAAAAAAAAAACAGAGGCCCGGCCCGGTCCCGGGTCCATCAATTTTGAACCGCCGGCCTGCCTGGGCCTAGGCCTGGCTCCAGGCCTACCGGAGACTAGAAATCTATGAGATCAAATTAGAAAATTCAGCCCGAAGTCAAAACATTCTAAAAAATAGTGGAACAAAATTCCAGTGTTATTTTTTACGGGGCGTGTTTCAATTCCTTTCATAGTGATAGTAGCTTAATGCAGAAACCCCTGTAAACGCGTAACGAGTAGGGTTGGGCAAAAATACCGAAAAATCGATATACCGCACTTACCGTGCCGAAAAATACCGGAAAATACCGGAATATTGGTATACCGTCATTTTCGGTACGGTATCATACCGTACCGATTTATTTCGGTACGGTAACGGTAAATGTTTTCAAATACCGCGGTATACCGGTATAATATCGTACCGACTCCCTACCCAAAAATTACTTTATATTCTAAAATATTGTAAAAGTCCATTACAACTTTGAAGCCTAAACTTAATACTTAGGTTGGTTACAAATATCAAAATACAAAAATAAAGGTCCAATTTCCCAAACCCACTATAACCTTCTAGGCTTCTATTACGTAACATTCAAATAAACTACCCTAATGACTAATGAGAAATGTACTAATGTCTAGAAACAAGTCTGAGTGTGAGCCGCTGACGAGTGTATCTACATAGTGATTGCGCGAGTGAAAACATACAACTTTGTCCGAAAGTCTTATTTAAATATTTTTTAAAAATTATAAAATGACTAAATACACAATCATATTAGGAATAAATGATTTTATATCCATATTGTTTGAAAAAAATATTTATTTTTGTTAGAGGTCACTATTAATTTAATTATATCTGTATTATTCAAGTTATTTTAGAAGAATGTATTACTTTTTAATACGTGACATGTTGAACTACTTAAATATACTAAAAATAATTATTGTTCAATATTGAATGACATCAATAGATTATTAATTGTATTTTGAAACATTTTAATAATGGATTAAATATGTCGCTAGTGCACCGATTTAGTGTATTTTAGTAGTGTATGGTAATTTACCGATACCGTACCGTTACCGTACCGAAACTTCGGTATACCGAAATGCAGTATACCGAAACTTCGGTAAGGTAACGGTATATAAATTTTGTATACCGAAAGTTTTGGTACGGCAAAGGTATGAGAGAAAATATTCGGTATATCGTACCGAACCACCCCTAGTAACGAGCATTACTAGTTCGAACTTAGTGGATATAAGTCTACTAAATTAATTCGGGATAAAGATCAACATGGACATTAAGGTTATTTATGAAGTTCAAAATGGACACCAAGCTTTTATTTGGATCAAATTAACACAAAATTCATCTTTTGCGTTACATTTGGACACTCACCGATGTGGTGGTGCTCTAATCTTTAATTACGGAGCACAACAATCTTGGCCAGCCGACTTCATTCTCACTTCCTGATAATATAGGTAACAATTTGATATATGGGAAATTCGAATTCAGCTGCAAAAGAGTGCAAAATGAATTAACTCGTGTTTTCTGCTATTATCCCTAACGTTGACTAGAGCACCCAAAAGATGAATGTGGTTGCTTTCCTTTCTTCTAACAGGTGCAGCCAGGCAGAGGCATTTTTCCCAATTCCAAGATATTTTTTAGATTTCATTAGGAATAAGTAGGGTTCCAACGTATGGTTATGCCAGACAATACAACCTTTGGAACACTACTTGAATCTCATGCCAGCATGCCACTCCTCTTTACCAAAGATCCTGGTAAGCTGATGTGCTGATGTACTTCTATGTAGGATTAGTCAATTATATTCACATCTTCCTTGAGAAAGAATCGGGGTTGTGAGTTTCGGTACTACCAAGCACTCTTTTTCATTTCTCCCTTGTGAATATTAAGAGAGAGGTGTGTACGATGTCCGCCCTTTTCTTCGTTTAGCTTTTGACAATTGACACGATTGAAGCGCCGTTAAACAAAAGTTAGTGGCCAAGCTGATGAGTGTCTAAGTGTGTCGTAAAAGGATGTATTTTGTGTCTATTTTGCCCACTTGAAAGATTAGTGTCTAATTTGAACTTACGAAATGATCTTAATGTCCATTTTGGCCTATATCCCAAATTAATTGAGTAAAATAAAACTTGTTTTTATTCCTAATATGCCCCCATACGAAATTATAGTCGGAGGATTTCCGAAATTTTCTCCCGGCTTCTTTAACAATAAATACCAGTCTACTACACCCCTAAATGAGTAGCAGTCTTCCAAGGCAACGAGCCTTTCTTAGTGTCACAACACACTCAATAGGTTACTATATTGTTAAAGATGCAATTATTTAACTGTGATTTTAGAATAGATTTAGTTAAAGAACTCAAGTGATTATCAACCACACCAAGGATAGTTCAATGACTAGAAATATGAATCAAGTTACTTATACAGTTATACACTATATTAGTTAAAGAACTCACAATCTTTACTTTCATGGATTTCACAATAATAATCTCTAGCGAGAGAGTTTATAAAAGTAATTTGAATCACTAATGGTGTTCATAAGAAAAAATTGGGATGAAATCAAACTAATGTTCATTAATACTCTTAGCACATATCCCACTTTTCCTTGCATCATTATTGATCTCGGATAACACTTTTACCTTTCAACTCATAGAGAACCATTGATAGTATTGCACAAATATTAACTTAAATTCATTTCAATTTATTCATGTGAATACTATTTCGAATCATTTTTTTGAACTTTCACCGCAGAAGTTATTATTGTAGCATAATGAAAGTAAAAATGGCCAGCCGGACCGTCTCCGCGCTTCAGCGCTTCTCCACCTTCAATCCTTCTCCGTTACTCTCTTCCTTCATCGGATAGTTGGCCCGACTGTGAACTAATGATGTTTGGACCGGTTATGATATAAATGGTTGAACTGCTGAGGTTTCTTTGTCAAGATCCTTCCCTTGCCATCCTTAAAAAACGAAGTCCTGAGTATCCCGGTTCGAAAAGATAGCAACTTTAAAGCGCTCACACTCGACTATGGCTTCTCTGTCTATCAACTTGTTCTCTTCGCTCCCCAGGTTGTCTCCTGTTTTCATTCATACTTATATTGCGGGTATGACAATAGCTCATGAATTTTACACCCCAGAATTTAATGAAAGCTCAAATTTTGAGGCTCTTTTCCACATTGAGTCAATCTGTAGGGTAAATGGTCTGGATTGACAGAGTTTTCAGTGAGGTTAGTTCAATAGACTTTATAAATCGAAGTACAAAAATTTCTCTTAAATATGCAGGCAACAGAGAGGAAGCGATGTTTGCCCATATATGAACACCTTACAACTTCATAATCTTGGGTCTTTGAGTAAATGGATCCTCACCGCGGCATCTGAAAAAAGACTTATAGGAACTTCTAGAGCTAAGAAAAAGGCTAGAGTAGGGACCTCAGATGAAGAATCTGTCTCAGCTGAGAATGGATTTGGTCCAACTGAAGGTGTCAAGAAAACAAGAACTCGAAAGAAGAATAAAGTATTGGAGACCTCGTCTACTGAATCTCATTCTGCTGAAAATGGAAACGTTAAGGACGTGGACATCCGAGTGATTTCAGGATCAAGTGACACCCCCAAGAAGTCAAGGAGAGCTACTACTCAAAAGAAAGGTATGTTCTTTAAGAACTAAATTCATACTGTTTCTTCCCACTTATTACTTATTAGGCCACATTTGAGTATTTCTGGTCGAAGATTTTCAAATTCTTCAAGAACTAAAAACTCACAATTAATACATTTGTTTTCCGTTAATATATACTCCAAAATATAGCTGAAATGTGGCACAGTTCAACATATTATAGATCACAATTGTGTGCTTTGGAAATGATAATAATTATAGCTAAAAAACTGGTCACAGTTCAACATATTTGACTACAATTCTGTAGTTCCATTTGAGCATGTTGAAATTGACACTATGGAAATGATAATCTTGCAGCTACCACTTCTAGTAGATTAGACAGTGTTACAACTGAGAAGAAGGTGACTGGAAGGAAGGGAAATAAGAAGATTTTGAATGACTCTGACAATGAGCGTGCACTAGAGTTGGATATAGAAGGAGGAGAGGATATTAGCTTCACTTATGGGTGGCCACCTCTCGTTTGTATCTTCGGTGCAGCACATCAAGCATTTGTGCCTTCGGCGAGGCGGGCTCATAGACTAGTGGACCATGAAGACCATGAAAGGAGGAAAGATGTCCTCTGGACACCTGAAAAATTTATGAGAGCCCCTGGAGGTAGTGCTAGTAATGTTGCAGTTTCTCTTGCACGCTTAGGTGGAAAAGCTGCCTTCATGGGAAAGCTCGGGGACGACGATTTTGGAATTTCATTGCTCTATTTTTTGAATATCAACAATGTCCAAACCCGGTCAGTATGCATTGATAATAAAAAACAAACAGCTATTTCAAAAATGAAAATGATTAAGAGGGGTGGATTGAAAATGTCCAAGCTCCTGAAACCATGTGCCGAGGATTCCTTATCAACGTCTGAGATTAATATTGATGTGCTGAAAGAGGTAAGTTGTATCACAGGTTCTCTTTGTTGATGAGAAGAAATAACTTTCTAGGTAGTACATTCATTTTGAGGAGGGAGGAGTGTTTGCCTGGATCCTTGAAAACGTTAGGGTACCAGAAAAGGAAATCAATAGAAAGTATTTTCTTATGATGGCTTTGCCCCAAATGAAATGTCTTGTTTTTTTGTGGAAAGAAATGTGTGGTTAATATCATTGCACTTTATTCTACTCAAACGTTAACCATTACTTATACATTTCAACTAATTTATTAATAATTGTGCCAAAAAAAACCACATAAAATGAGACGGAGGTAGTATATGATTTTTTTTAGTTATTTTCATATATTTAGATTCCTTAGCCATTATATATATCACTAATAAATACTCCTCTTGTCCCTTAAAACTTTGCCATGTTTGACTAGGGGTGGACTGGGACGGTCCAGGTCAGGCCTCGGGCCCGGGTGGGCTTCGGGGCAAAGGAAATCAGGCCCAGTACTGGTACCGGTTCTGGCCCGGGTCGGGTCAGGCCTTTATTATTATTTTGTTAGTTTTGTTTTTTTAAATTAATTCCAACCCCCACCCCACCCCCAAAGCTGCTAGCTCCACCCACCTAGCAGCCAGTCCAATGGGGAAAAAAATTAATTGGTGACCGTTAGGCCCGGACGGTCTGGTCCACCAAAATAGGAGCCCGAGCCCGCCTACCTTTTCCACCGGGCCGGGTACCGCTCTTGGAAAACCAGATCGGGTCGGGACTAAACAGTAGCGGGTCGGGTCCCGGGTTGGGCAGCCCGGTCGCGGTCCATCCCTATGTTTGACCGGCACGGGAGATAATAAAGTAAAAACTGTATGGTTGAGAGTTGTGCACAAGAGAAAAATTACAGGAACAACAAACTAATTGATTAAGATCAAAAGTGTTAAAGTTTTTGAGACAAGAAAAAATGGAAAGATGTCAAGTTATAGGGGAAGGAGGGAGTATATAAAATGAGTTCAAGTAACAAGCTAAAAATAAATATATTGATTTTAAATTTTAATCATGTTTTCTGCTAAATTTTCTTTCATCTAGTATGATCATTGTTTTCCTGTTTATTTTTTAATTAGTATTTTTACATATTCCAAACAGACCCTTATTGAAGTAATAGATTTGTGGCAATCAATTGACCCCCCCCGGTCTACCCAACAATGTCGAATTGCAAGAATATTCTCAAACTGTTAACTAATAATGCTGTAGAGATATGATCAACACTTATCAGTCTATCACAAGCTTGATCTGAATTTTAAAATTTCTCAGAGTTTTTTTCATTTTACTTTCACCCCTATATTCGAGGCAAGATGTTTTCTTATTAGATCCCTAATAAAGCCTCATTAGGTTGTTGTTTGTGTAAGTTCTAGCTACAAATAGATAGAACAGTCAACACATTTTATGCTTTTTTGTAAAATCTAAATTATCAAGCTTTTCTACAATGGAGTATGATTGTAATTTTAATGATGCTTTCATCTCACTTTAATAAGTGTTTTTTGAGAGAATTTATTTATCTCAATGTAACTTGGAAATGCAGGCCAAACTGTTTTATTTCAGCACCTTTTCCCTGCTTGACCCAAACATGAGATCAACTGCCCTTGGAGCCATAAAGATATCAAAGCAGCTGGGGGGAATTGTCTTTTATGACCTCAACCTTCCTTTGCCACTCTGGAAATCGTCCAGTGAAGAAACCAAGGCTTTTGTACAACAAGCTTGGGAACTTGCAGATATTATCGAAGTCACAAAGCAGGAACTTGAATTCCTGTGTCAGATTGATCCTGTTGAAAGGTTTGACACTAAAGATAATGACAAAACTAAGTTCACTCATCATTTGCCTGAAGTTATTGCTCCGATTTGGCATGAAGGGTTGAAGGTCTTGTTTGTGACTAATGGCACTTCAAAGATACATTATTATACTAAAGAGTTCAATGGGGCTGTTCTTGGAATGGAGGATGCACCTCTCACCCCTTATACTTGTGATATGTCTGCATCTGGAGATGGCATTATTGCAGGTAAAAAGCAGTAATACAGATATTCGTTTCTTTTTTAGCTTTTGTTTATTTTCTTAAGGGTCTGTTGGGAACATAAGAGATACTAAGGAAGTAGGGTAAAAAACTAAAAAAATTCTTTTAATGTTTGATTTTAAAATACAAAGCAAATACGAGTATAAATTTGATTAACATTTTTTAATTTCTACATATATTTATATTTATTAGACTTCATATATTAGATATAATTAAATAAAACATGTTTAAAAAGTTGTTGCCCCTGTCCTCTACAACTTCCATGATTCCAAACAGGTCGTAAAAAGCTTGGGGTTTCAGTGCAACCAGTCACTATATCTATGGTATTATTGCAGAAGTCATGTACTTATAAAGTTGCTGCATAAGTTATCCGGGAGAAAGTGCAAATTGATCACTAAGGTTATGAATAAAGTTCCAATAAACCAGTAACCTTTCAAATGGACCAAAAAGGCACACATGTAAGGTTTTTGAGTTACTTTTTGACACCATGTACTCACAGAGGCATCTCAAAGGTTATATCCCAATTCATATGTACGTTTACTAGAAGCATCTTTAAGGTTTCTAAACCCTACACAATACAAGTCTTGACCTAAAACGAATTGTTCTCAAATACTTCGTTCTTTCCTACCGGATCTGATAGAAAATCAAACCCAACCCATTTCCCCTTTTCAATTTATATTTTTTGAAAAAATGATGTTGCTTACAGTTTTGCATTGAAGGGCATGACAAAAGATTTATAAACTTAAGAACTTGTCGTTAGTTGGTCCATCTTAAATGAACCAAAGAGTTGCTTGTAATGTCCTTTTTGGTTAAAAAAGAATCTTAGTGTCAAAATTGAGATTTGATAATGACCTTAATGTCCAATTTGGTCTATATCCCTACGTTATCACACAGGTGCTAATTTTTGTAATACAGTGCTTGGAGCTAATAATATTGGGATCCCTAACATATGAAACAGGTTTATTAAGAATGCTGGCAGTTCAACCTGAGCTCATCACAGACAAAGGCCACATGGAAAGCACCATAAAGTATGCTATTAACTGTGGAGTGATTGACCAATGGTTGCTGGCTCGGAAATTAGGATACCCTCCAAAAGAAGGTACCGAAAATGACGTGGAACCGGATGATAATGGCATAAGGTCTATAACAGAAAAAGAATACAGAACATATGTACCTGTACATTGATTTGTCTAGAGGGTTCTGTTTTATACTTGTTCTTTCTTTAAAGGTCTATCCAAGTGTGGGATAGAGGCCTGGCAACAGTTTGTAGAAATTTTCTGCAACCATTCTCGAAATAGTATAAAATGCTGTTGTATCATGTGCAAGCATTCTTTATGTGATTTACTAAATGAAATAAGACCTGGGAATGTAACAAAATCAGGAATGAACTTTATACCAAGAACAATTCAAGTGTTTCTTTTTTTGATTCCATTGAGAATTTGAGATCATCAATCATGAAGTAAAAAATGACATATAGAAACTAGAAGTAAACTAAAGTTTTCACATCCTCTCCTTTACTACATACAGATACATTTGGCATTGAACCTAAACTCCATTTATTCTTAGTATTGAGATTGAGAAAACTCCTCAAGCTTTGATGCAGCTGCCCTATCCAGAAACCAAACCAACTTTCCCTGACAGGGTTGGACCATCCTAGCAGGCAAAAATGGAGAATCCGGCCATTGCCTGACTTCATCAACAACCAAATGAACAGCTTCTGCCTTGGTGCTACCAACAACAACCATTGCCACGTTTGAGGCAGAGTTAATAACAGGCAAAGTAAAAGTGATCCTCTCAGGCGGGGGTTCAGGCGAGTCAGTCAAAAACGACACCCAGTCTTCTTTTTCGGCAAGGGTTGGGTGACCGGGGAATAAGGATGCCACGTGCCCATCGGGCCCCATTCCTAGAAGTATAAGGTCAAACCTGGGACTGTCGCTGAAGTCAGAGGCACTGATTACCCGAGTCTTCACTAGTTGTCTTATAACAAATTCATACTCTTCTGAAGCCTTCTCTGCTGACACTGCGTCATTGATTGAGTGTACTTGACCAGGACCAACCGGCACCTGAATGTACACCACAGACCTTAAAAGTTAGAGCCAGTTTGGAATTCCGAAAATGCTATTCAACTGAAATATGATACCCAGTAGATATTTGTAAGGAAAAGAAGTGTGGGCTATATCAAACATTGGTTCAAAGTAAAAAAAAACGGTAACCTTTTTCAAATTCAGCTGGTCTTATTAAATTCTGTTATACAAGTATTAAAAAAACTAAACAATGTGTAATTTAAATAAAAAATAGTAATCAGATTTCACTTCCAAGGGAACAGTAAATACAAGAAAATATATTTCATTAGAGAATTTAATTTAATTTCTTTACCATTTTGAGAAATCCAAGCATAACTTTATCATGGTTCCCTTTAAAAAACTAATGGTGTTTTGAAAACATTTTCCTTAGCAGAGTGCTCTACTGAAAGACCATATATATTCACAGTATACAGAAAAAATTCCAAACTATTGCAAGAAATTGTTAGTAGACTGCACATATCATAAGCCAATTTAGTCCCGGTCGACTATATACATTGTTTTTCTAAATAAGAAAGGGTTTATATTTGTGTTTTTTCTAACTTTAGACCCAATGTAGGCTGAATGTGGTAAGTAACTATGCACTTTGAACCCAATTAGTAATCACCCTATGAAAAACTCTTCTTAATCAGAACACAAAAAGGATAAGGATTAAAATGAGACTAAATTGGATAATCAAGGATCAAACTGATTAACTAACAATTATTTGCTGGAAGATGCCAGTATTCACTGTTCAAATTCCAGAAGGATAAAAATATATATATACAATGCAGGCATTTTACCTTGGACAAAAAGGCATCTTTGGTTAGTTTGTAGTTGCTATCAACATGACTCTTAGACACTGCACGTTCCTCAGCCCAAAATATGTGCCATTTTCCCCATTCCACAGTTTTGATGAAAGGCAGTTCACATAGCTTTCTGCTCCTTGCAATAAAGTTCAAAATCACATCATAAATCTCTGTTCAGGGAAAGAGATTTTGGTAGAAAATACTGACATCTATATAAGATAAGCCCAAACATTATTATTCTTACTATATATAAAGACTGACATCTTAGTACATAGTACATGAAAAACTTTAAAATATACGGATTATATGTCAACTAATATTTAATTTTTCTTCACAGTTTCTAAAAATGAGCTCATCTTACATACCCCATGAGGCTAATCAGAGATCCACCGGACAATGCAATGGCAAAAGTGCCCTTTTCCTTAACCGAATCCTCAGATAATTCTGCGATATATTCCGCCAAACCTGTGCTTAGTTCATTCAGATTTTCATAAATCTTCACTTCTCTTCCATCTACTTTGGGCCCATACAAAGCCATCCTTCTCTAATCGGAAACAGTTGCAACCGGTAATCTGCACATGTCACAACAATTGAGACCAAATTTTCGTTCAGCATTAACTCTCAGTAACAAGAATTTTGAAGAAATGCAAGAAATGAAACTTCCAATATCACTATTTGGGGAGATTTCAATACCCAAGAAGATCAAAACTCTAAATAGCCAGTACAGAAAATTGACGTTTCATCGAAGAAAACAATTCATTAACACGTAATCAAACTTCATTAACAATTCTTCTAAAGGATATACCAGTATATTTAAGTTCCTGATACTAAACCTGGGGATCCAGGAATCAAGATTATCGAACTACGCCCGGAAACAAAAACACAGTCGAAATCTACCCAAAGAATGGGAGCCCATAATCAATTCTTTCCCAAATTGAACCCAAGAATTTGAAAAAACGCTATGATCAGCAGAGTATGAAGATTCTAATTTCTTGAACCAAAAACATGCATGTAAATAGAATGTAACAGAAACCGCATTTCAGCCCAGACCCAGATCAAAGATATATATCTCACTCTCAATATAGAAATTGAGTTGAAGAAGGGAATTACGATACTTGAAATCATAAACATACGAGCTGTTCTCATACCTGAGACCAGGAGTCCACAACGACTGAAGATGGAGAGATACTCGGCGTCTTTCTGAGGAGGGAGAAGCGGATTGAAGGCAAAAGAAACTGAATGAAATGCGAGATGGACATTGTGTATTTATAGGTAGGAATCATTTATAATGGACGAAGTACTTAATCCGAATTTGTTACGGAGTTTATTTATGGTTTAAGCAAATATTTTTCATATTTGTGAATTGTGAAGTTAATCAGTTATCCGAACTCCGAAGTATATCGAATCCATCGGGTAGAAAATAAATATAATTTGATTTTGGGTGGTAAGTTGTTCAATAAAAAAACAAATAAAATCGATATCTCTTTTCTAAATAGCTTTGCTGAATTATGTAGCATAATTTAGGTTTTTTCTATGTTTCATTTCTTCCAAATTAATTATTTCGCTCTCATTTTTAGCATGTTCCTAATTACATTTTTCCACTTTCTAACTTTTTCAAAGTATGTGAAACTCTATTGAAATAAGAAAGTGTAAAGTTTAATATGGTACTGACAAAAAAAGAAAAATGTAAAAATGATTCAGAACCGGAGGGAGTAAGACTTTTGTAATGAAGAGAGTATTTTTATTCTCCGCATTATTTATAGTTATATGTTAAATAAGATTTTTCTATAAATCAGCATATTCAATTAATTTTTTTAACGATTTCATTTATTTTAACTATTCAAACAACTATAACATAGTTACACAACATCATTATTATACGACTCAATTGTTTATAACAATATAAAAATGTCCTAGTATTGGGACCCACTTACATTATTAGTCTCATAGCACATTAATATTTTTACTAGAGGTTAAGGAGGGATGAGGAAGACTGGAGTAAATAAGACTATAATTTTCTTCTTGTGAAGTTTCGAACTCAAGACTTTTCATATGAGAGATCGGCGATCAGTTGAGCTAGATCGTTTGCTAACCATTTTATTGGTATGTGTTGTTTTTTTTTTTCTATGTTGGAGCTTCCTTTACTATCTAATTGGCAGTGAAGCCAAAACTTCTTTAGGTGCTTTGTATGAACTGTCACGTATTGTTGCTTGTATGATTGTAGCAACTCTTGAACTAACTTATTTTATAGCTTGTTAGACGGATAGTCTAAATATTCTTCCCCACGGCCTAAGCTTTTTGTGCAATCCCATTTTCATCTTAGCTTTGTGCTATTGTTATCAAATCTCCTTTGTGAAGAATTAGTAGTAGACAAGGAATAGGAATTAGGAAGAATAGTGTAAGAGGGCTTAGGATGATAAACGTATGATGTTTGTATATTTTATAATCACAGAAGTTTGGTCTGGTGTTTGTATATTTTATAATCACAGAAGTTTGGTCTGACCTAATATGTCAAAATCTTTTTGGTCTGGTCTGGTTTGAGATTGAAAACCGTCCAAATAAAACACCGATTGATCACTTTAGAACTAGTGGTGCAAAATCGGATATTAGAATTCAAATTGGGGGCCATAGAACCACTCTCCTTTTCAAGCCATGCCATTTTTTTAAAATATAAATGAAGTAATTTATTTTAACTAACCATGTAGAAACCAATATTTAAGTACCCTAACAATGGTAGAAAAATGTGATGAAAATTTTACTGTAATTATGCAGGTCACTCATATGAAGTACCTATATTAGTGGAGTGAGTAAAAAGAAGTTACATAAATTATACAGAGTAAAAATGAAGCAATAAAATTATCTGACATAAGTTTTAAAACAAAAACAAAAGAGAAAAACATATTGTTGAATAAAATTACGTACATCCATATACCGGCTAATCGGGAATACTTTATTGCAAAAAAGAAATATTATCATTTAAGTAACACGAAAGCTCTATTCATTGGAAGAAAGCTCTAATCATCATTACTTTTGTGTGAAAAATAATTATTTTTATTAGTCATGTCAAATCGGTCATTTTTTCATTAATTGTTAATTCGATAGTGTCCCCACTCCCCAAACATAATGGTTCGGTATCCATACCAATTTGGTCTAACTCGTTTAACCGTTTCATTTAACAAAAAAATTTAACGAAAACAAATCGTACCAAATTAACCGTTTCATTTAACTAACTGAAACAAATCGTACCAAATTAATCTAGAACGAATTGACATTAATTAAGTTAAATATAAGCTGGTTTGGTGTTTTTTTTTTCAAATTGTATTATATGGAATGGGATTGAACTTGTAATTTGTATAGAACGGATAAAATCGAACGAAATTAAAAAATTCAATAAAAGCTTAACATACTTATGAAAAATATCATATTCGAACTGAACATAATATTGAAATTATAATTTTATTGAAGTTATAAAATTCAATAAAATATAATGATATTTCGAACATAAAATATCATATTCGAATCGAACGAAATTGTTTTTCTATAGTCATT